GGAAGGGCTGGCTCGGCGGGGCGGTCTGCAGGGCGGCGCGGTAGGCCTCCAGCGGCGCCTCCAGCGGCTCGAAACTCTCGGCGTCGGCGTTGAGTGCGCTCGCCTGGGCCCCGACCGCGCCCTGCTCCAGGTCCTCGCGGGGTGCAGCAGCGGCGGCCGCGCGCTCTGCCTCCGCCAGGCGCTCGGCTTCGGCCAGGGCCAGGGCCTCGTTCAGGCTCGCGTCGCCCTGTGCTGCCTCTGCCCGTCGCTTGGCTGCGGCCTCGCGCCTGCGCTCGTCGAGGTAGGCTCAGCCCCGCTCGCGCAGCCCCTCGCGCGCCGGCGTGCCCCTCGCGCGCTGGCCCGAAATCCGAACCCAAACCCGAACATTACGGCTTGGGGCCTCCCGAGCCCTCGCGCCTCCCACGCCAAACTCAGTCTGACGGAATTCGGCTTGACGCAAGTCCCCCGCCCTTCGCGAAGGGCGAGGCCGCTGGCCCCCGACGTCGACGTCGGGAGCAAGCGCCCTTATCCTTCCCCAGGGGCCGCCGCGTGGAGGCGGACGGAGATGGCCCCCTGGGCCCCCGCGCCGCGTTGGTCGCCCCGTCGCTGATGACATCTGCAAGGCTCCTCGCCTCGCAGAGCCGACGCGACGGAGCGGGCGACGCCGCGCGGGAGCCCCCACCCCGTCGACGAACCCTCTCGCTTTCTTCTCGGGGCGAAGAGGGCTCGCCGACAGGAGGTCGTTGCTTGTGGAGCGCTCGTCAACAAGGGGTCTCTACGCTACGCCCCCGAGCCCCCGACGTCGTGCATATGAGCACGCGTGCGCGCGCGGGCCTGCGCGGGCGCGCGCGTGGGCGTGCGCGCTTGCGCGTGCGAGTGGCGCGCGTGCGCGTGCGCGCGCGCGTGGCGCCCTCCCCCCCCGCCCTCTCCTCCTCCTGCCCCTCCTCCTTCTCCCCCTCCCCCTAGCGGGCCCGCTCCTGCGCGCGTCGGGCAGCGCCGCGACCGCGGTCGCCTGGCGAAAGGGGGAAGGGGAGATGGGCGGCGCCCTCGTCGCGGTCGCCGCTGTCGCCGCCGACGCCGAGGTGCAATCGAGACATTGCCACGGGAACGTTGGTCGAGAACGCGAGGGCCGTGCCCCGCGCGCTTCAGGAACCGCGGGGAAGCAACTGCAAAGATGCACCCATAGGCGGGAGGCCGAAACGCGAAGACCTGAAGGATGCGCGCCGCCGTCTGCCCCACCGCCGCACCGCCGTCGGCGCGCAGGCACAGCCGAGACGAACGGCCACAAGCACGCGGATCAAGATCGCGGACATCGTCAGGGCCCAGCGACGGACAGCGGCGACGGACAGGACAGGCGCGACGGGCAGGGGCGGCGGATAGGGGCGACGGACAGAGCGACGGACAGGGCGACGGACGGGAGCACCCCTCAGACACCAAATGGTCGCGAATCAATCAGTGCGGGGTCCAAACGCGGCGTTCGGCGCTTCTGGGGGCGCGCTCTCTCGCGCCCTCAGACCTCAAATGGTCGCGAATCAATCAGTGCGGGGTCCAAACGCGGCGGGCGCGGCCGCGGCGGGTTCGGGCCACGGCGGGTTCGTGCCACAACGGGAGGTGGCCACGGCGGGGGCCGGACCCCGCCGTGGCCGATCCCGCCGCGCCCACGCACCCTCGGAAGGCGTCAAAACGCCGTGTTTGGACCTTGCACCTTGGACCTCGTCCTCCTCCCGTGCTCGCCCAGCGCCTGGGGGCGCTTCTGGAGCGCCTGGGAGCGCCTGGGAGCTTCTGCGTTGGTCCGCGCGACGGGCATGGCCACGGACAAGACAGCGGCGACGGACAAGGGCGACGGACAGGGGCGACGGACAGGGCGACAGGCAGAAGCGACGGACAGCGGCGACGGACGTCACAAGGGCGACGGGCAGCGGCGACGGACAAGACAGAGGCGACGGACAGGGGCGGCGGACAGGGGCGACGGACAGAGCGACGGACAGGGCGACGGACGGGAGAACCCCTCAGACACCAAATGGTCGCGAATCAATCAGTGCAGGGTCCAAACGCGGCGTTCGGCGCTGCCGCGGCGGGTTCGGGCCACGGCGGGTTCGTGCCACAACGGGAGGTGGCCACGGCGGGGGCCGGACCCCGCCGTGGCCGATCCCGCCGCGCCCACGCGCCCTCGGAAGGCGTCAAAACGCCGTGTTTGGACCTCGCACCTTGGACCTCGTCCTCCTCCCGTGCTCTCCCAGCGCATGGGGGCGCTTCTGGAGCGCCTGGGGGCGCCTGGGAGCTTCTGCGTTGGTCCGCGCGACGGGCATGGCCACGGACAAGACAGCGGCGACGGACAAGGGCGACGGACAAGGGCGACGGACAGGGCGACAGGCAGAAGCGACGGACAGCGGCGACGGACGTCACAGGGGCGACGGGCAGCGGCGACGGACAAGACAGAGGCGACGGACAGGGGCGGCGGACAGGGGCGACGGACAGAGCGACGGACAGGGCGACGGACGGGAGAACCCCTCAGACACCAAATGGTCGCGAATCAATCAGCGCAGGGTCCAAACGCGGCGGGCGCGGCCGCGGCGGGTTCGGGCCACGGCGGGTTCGTGCCACAACGGGAGGTGGCCGCGGCGGGGGCCGGACCCCGCCGTGGCCGATCCCGCCGCGCCCACGTGCCCTCGGAAGGCGTCAAAACGCCGTGTTTGGACCTCGCACCTTGGACCTCGTCCTCCTCCCGTGCTCGCCCAGCGCCTGGGGGCGCTTCTGGAGCGCCTGGGAGCGCCTGGGGGCGCCTGGGACATGGAAATGGGCACGGAAAGAATGGGTACGACGCCCGAAATGGGCACGATAACCCGATGGGTCCTGGCGCGCCCAACACTTTGCACCATCGCCGTCGCACCAGTTTAAGACTGACTGGCAGGGAACACAGAGAATGACCCGGAGAAGAGCAAGGAGAGAGGAGCGATCGTTGTCCTAACGGGCGCAACGGGCTGCCCCAACGGGCGCAAGCGCTCTCGTCGCCAGATAGACCTGGCGACTTGGCTCGAGCTCCACTCGATGCCGCGAACGACGCCACCTGGCGCCTGGCGCTTCTCCTCCATCCCCCTCCTCCGTCTTCCCTTCCTGAGGGAAAGGGGGGGGAGGTGTCATTTGGACACCCGAAATGGGTACCGACAGAATGGTGCAATACCCAGCAACAAATGTTGTCCCAAACCAACAGCGGCCGCTGTTGGGCAGGCTGCTTCCTGTCTCGAATGGGCGCAGGCCGCGGCGGCGCGGACAGCGAGTCCTGTTCAGAATGAACGAGAACTGCTGTTGGGCATCGTACCCATTCTTTCCGTGCCCATGTCGGGCGCCCAGATATTATGCCAGTTTCTCCCGCAGGGTGCGCGGCCAACGCTGCACCTGCGGGAGATCTGGCAACGCGTGCCCTGCGAGAGCTACATCTGCGATGCAGCTCTCGAGCAGGGCGCGCGGCGGACTGGCTACGTTGGGGATGCCGCGGTCCCGCATCACCCCCAGCAGCAGCTCGCCTGCGGCCGCGCCCACGCTGGGCGGGCGCCCCCGCGGCTTCCGCTGACCCCCGAGAGCGCCGATCACCGCCGCCTGGGAGGCGGGGCTCACGGCAGCAAGGGAAGCGGAAGGCGACGGGGCGCCGCCTGGTGGGCGGCGCGCGGGCGTGGCTGCGTCGGCGCCGCCCGCCTCCCTAGGCTGCACGGCGCGGCCGCTCGACTCGGGGTCGGGCGACGCGCGCCGCCGCTTCGGGGCGCGGGCTGGCGCTGGGGCCTACGGGCGGCGACATCTAACCTCGCCCCACCCCCCGTTCCCCGACCATGCTTCGCGCGCCCGCGCGGCGCGACACGGCGCGACACGAGGCACAGCGCACGGCGCAACGCACGGCACCGAATGCATGACCGAATGCACGGCGCGGCTCGGCGCAGGGCGCGGCGCGCGCGCGAGGCGCAGTCGTGTGCGGGTCAGGGGGGGCGGGGTGGTTAGGTGTCGCATGCCTCGTCCGCGGCCGCGGCCGCGGCAGGAGCCTCGCCCGCGGCTTCCGCTGGGGCGTCCTTCGATCGAGACGGCGACGACGACGACGACGACGACGGCGACGGCGACGGTGACGGCGACGGCGACGGCGACGGCGACGACGACGACGGCGACGTGCGTCGCAGCACGGCAAGAGGCACGGCGCGGGGCACGGCGCCAGGCACGGCACCAGGCGCGGCGCGAGGCACGGCGCGAGGCGCGACACCAGGCACGGCGCCAGGCACGGCACGAGGCACGGCACCAAGCACGGCGCGAGGCACGGCACGAGGCCCGGCACCAGGCGCGGCACGAGGCGCGGCGCGAGGCACGGCGCGAGGCACGGCACGAGGCACGGCGCAAGGCGACGGCACGCGGCGACGGACCGAGGCGCGGCACGAGGCACGGCTCGATGCGCGGCATGAGGCACGGCACGAGGCACGGCACGAGGCGCGGCACCAGGCACGGTGCGAGGCGCGGAGCGAGGCACAGCACGAGGCGCGGCACGAGGCACGGCGCGAGGCGCGGCACGGGGCGCGGCACGGGGCACGGCACGAGGCAGGGCACGAGGCGCGACACGACGGAGTCCTCGAGAGCGAGCAGAGCGTCTGCCGCCAAGTCGCGGAGCCACTGGTCGAAGTCGCTGTCCTCCTCCTCGTTGCCCCCGCCCCCGCCCTGGGGCCGACGGCTGCCGCTCTCACAAGTGAGCCTCGTCGGGGCGCCGCTGGCCCCCCAATCGGTTGCAGGGCCAACAGCGCACCGACGGAGCTGAATTGTGAGCGCGTTTGCCATCGGGCCTCTTCGAGCCCGCCCAACTCGAAGTCGGGCAGCTCTGCGTCGCAGAGCGCCAGCTGCTCCTCCAGCGGCCACGCGACGGGGCCCAGGTCCCCGAACGCGGCGCGGACGAGGAGCTCGGCCAGCTCCGCGTCCTGGCGGGGACACGCCAACCATCCGTCCCCCCCGCCCCGCCCCCGCCGCATCCTCTGTCCCCACTGTTCCCACCATTGTCCTCGCCACTGTCTCCACCACTACCGTCCCCACCACTGTCCCACTGTCCCTACCACTGTCCCGCTGTCCCCTCACCACTGTCCCCACCATCACCGTCCCCACCACTGTCCGCACCCCCACTCGGTTTTCGAGGGGGGGGGGGAGGGTTCGAACCGGTAGTGACCCCCCCCGGTTTTCGAGGGGGGGGGGGTTCGAACCGGTAGTGACCCCCCCCCTTTTCATGATGAACTGGGGGGGGGGAGGGGTTCGAGCTGGTAGTGACCCCCCCTGGTTTTCCGGAGGGGGGGGGGAGGGGTTCGAACCGGTAATGACCCCCCCCCCGGTTTTCTGCCAGCAGCGGTAGAACACGCTCTTTCACGTCACGGCTTCCTTTGCGCTTCTCGAGCAATCGCCATCCAGAGTGCTGGGCCGGTATGGCGGCGGTACTCGCGACAGGCAGATGCAGCTTACGGCGCACAATGCCTGGTGTCCCATGTGGCTTCCACACGGGACGCCGCTTTCAAACGCTCACTCGTCCTGAATAATTCCGTTGCTGTTGCCGCTTGTGGAAGACGGGTTGGGTACGTCGCCTGGTGATTATTCGTGAGCCTCCGAACCTCAAGCCTTAGTGTCAACGCCTTTGGGCAAGTGCGGGTCCAAACCAGACCTTACAAATAACGCACATCTTTGGGCGTCGATGTTTTCCGCCTCGTGCAGTGGACCCTCCTTAGATCCACGTGCACTCTATTTTTGCTCGAAACTCGTGCCCTCATGTTCGGCGCCGTTGATGGCCCTCCCCTGCAGAGAGACCTTGATGCTGGTGACTGGTCCTGGAATGAGAAGAAGGTGGGAGGATGGGGGAGGGAGGGAGGGGAGGAGAGGGAGAAACGGGAAGAATGGGGAATGAGGAGGGAGGGAAGGTTGGGAGGAGAGGATAACTAGGTCAGGGAGGGGAGGGAGGGGGCAGGGAGGAATGATTTGGAAGAGGGAGGAGGGGAAGGAGAGGGAGGAGCGAGAGGACAGGGAGGGGAGGAGAAGGAGGGGGGACAGGAGCACACGAGGGACGCCAGGGAGGCCCAGGAGAAGAGAAGGGGCAGGGACGGCCCGGAGAGCGAGGCAAGGCGAAGAACTCCTCCTCCTCCTCCTCCTCCTCCTCCTCCTCCTCCTCCTCCTCCTCCTCCTCCTCCCCCTCCTCCTCCTCCTCCTCCTCCCACGACAACGACGACGACGACGACGACGACGACGACGACGACGACGACGACGACGACGACGACGACAACCGCGACGACGACGACGACGGCGACGACGATGACGACGACGACGCCTCTAGGCCGCCCCCCTGCGCTGCCAGCAGGCCGGGCACGCCGGCGCCAGGGACCGCGGCCTGTGCAGGAGCGCCGGAAGGCCCCGCCCTCAGGCGGGGCACTGGCAGGGAGAGGGCCGCCCCAGTCATCATGCAGCTCTCTTCCCGTTCGTCTGCTTGCTCGTTCGTCTGCTTCCCCCTGGTCCTCCGTTTCTTCGCTCCTCCTCCTCCTCCTCCTCCTCCTGCAGCTCCTCCAGCTCCTCCTCATCATGCTCCTCCTCCTCCTCCTCCTCCTGCTCTCTTCCTCCTCTCCTCCTCCTCCTCCTCCTCCTCCTCCTCCTCATCCTCCTCCTCCTCGTCCCCTTGCATGGTCATCAATGTGGGCTCCGTCTCTTCCTCCTTCTCCTCCTCCCCCTCCTCCTCCTCCTCCTCCTCCTCCACCTCCTCCTCCTCCTCCTCCCCCTCCTCCTCCTCCTCCTCCTCCTCCTCCTTATCCTCCTCCTCCTCCTCCTCCTAATCTGGCGATCTCCGAATGCCACCAAACACTGCTATACGCAGCTCTCTGTCGTATTTCTCGGGCCTGGGATACCACCAAGTCTGAGTATGCACAAGTGTTGCTGCTTGTTTCCAGGAGAAAGTTGCACACGTGGGCCAGGAGCGCTTGTGGCACAAGCATGCCCATCAAACCATACTATACTTAAGTCGGGCGTGTCCCCCTACAGGCGGATTTTGGAGGAAAATCAAAAAATATTCAAGAAATCCTTAAACATAGTCAAACATGGGGAAAATCGTCCCAAAACTATTTTTTGACTATTTTTGAACATTCCTCCTGTAGAGGGACAGGCCCGACTTAATGACTTTGGTTGGGATACCACCAAGCACTTTGAGGTCTGTATGGGCTGGCCTGGCCGAGATGTGAAGACCTCCTGAAACATTAGCACACACAGACAAACAAAAACACGCACACTCCAAAAAAACGTGATCCGTAGGATTTGATAGTATCCCAAACCAGGGGAACACACATTCACACACATTCACACACACATTCACACACATTCACACACATTCACACACATTCACACACACTCACACACATTCACACACATTCACACACATTCACACACATTCACACACATTCACACACATTCACACACATTCACACACATTCACACACATTCACACACATTCACACACATTTCACACACATTCACACACATTCACACACATTCACACACATTCACACACACACACATTCACACACATTCACACACACATTCGCACACATTCGCACACATTCACACACATTCAAAGACATTCACAGACATTCACAGACATTCACACACATTCGCACACATTGACACACATTCACACACATTCGCACACATTCACACACATTCACACACATTCACACACATTCACACACATTCACACACATTCACACACATTCACACACATTCACACACATTCACACACATTCACACACATTCACACACATTCACACACATTCACACACCTTCACACACTTCACACACACATTCACATTCACACACATTCACACACATTCACACACATTCACACACATTCACACACATTCACACATTCACACACATTCACACACATTCACACACATTCACACACATTCACACACATTCACACACATTCACACACATTTCACACACATTCACACACATTCACACACATTCACACACATTCACACACATTCACACACATTCACACACATCACACACATTCACACACATTCACACACATTCACACACATTCACACACATTCACACACATTCACACACCACACACATCCACACACATCCACACACATTCACACACATTCACACACATTCACACACATTCACACACATTCACACACATTCACACACATTCACACACATTCACACACACACACACACACATTCACACACATTCACACACATTCACACACATTCACACACATTCACACACATTCACACACATTCACACACATTCACACACACACACACATTCACACACATTCACACACATTCACACACATTCACACACATTCACACACATTCACACACATTCACACACATTCACACACATTCACACACATTCACACACATTCACACACATTCACACACATTCACACACATTCACACATTCACACACATTCACACACATTCACACACATTCACACACATTCACACACATTCACACACATTCACACACATTCACACACATTCACACACATTCACACACATTCACACACATTCACACACACTCACACACACTCACACACACTCACACACACTCACACACACTCACACACACTCACACACACTCACACACACTCACACACATTCACACACACTCACACACACTCACACACACTCACACACACTCACACACACTCACACACACTCACACACACTCACACACACACACACACACACACACACACACGCTCCTTGGGCATATTGTCGGCGGCTTCTGGGGACGTCTTGGAGGCATATGGGGTGCCTGGAGGCTGTCTTGGGCGTCTGGAGTCGCTGTTTGGCGAGGGGGGGCATTCCTGGATCATGTTTGGCATTCGGGGGGGCTGGTTGGCGGCGTAAGGGGCCCTCTTGAGGCCATCTGGGGCTGTTTTCGGGCCGGGTTAGAGACCTCCTGGGCCGTCTCAGAGCGAAATTGAAGGCGTCTGGGGCCGTTCCGGGTTACACCGGAGCTGAACAATGCATTGAATTCGGTACTGGGGCCCTCTTGGGCTGACTTTCGACGGCTTCTTGGGGCGTCTTGGAGGCATCTTGGGCTGTTTGGAGGCTGTCTTGGACGTCTTGGGTTGCTGTTTTGGCAAGGAGGGGCTCTCTGGATCGTGTTGGGCAGGTCTGAGGGGCTGGTTGGCGTCTTCATGGGAGGTCTGGTGGCCCTCTGTGGCTGTTTGTGGGCCGTGTTGGAAAGTTCCTGGGCCGTCTCAAAGCGAACTCGAGGGCGTCTGGGGCCGTCTCGGATTGCACCAAAGCTGGACACGCGCACTCGTGAAAATCCCTCAGAAACTATCATGGTAGGCATGGAATTCGACCCTCGGAGCCTCTTAAGCAGGCGTTCGGCGGCTTCTTGCGCGTATTGGAGGCATCCTGGGCTCTCAGGAGGCTGTCTTGGGCGTCTTGGGTCGCTGATTTGGTGAGCGTGCGCCGCTCTGGGCCCCTCCGGGCTCGGCTCCCAGAGGCCCAGGGCGCCCATGACGAATCGAGGCAGCTGGCAGGCCCCCCGCCCCCCTGTAGCCCGGTAGATAGGCAGATAGATAGATAGATATATAGATAGATAGATAGGTGCACACATCTTATGTAAATGTATACACACACATATATATACAAACATACATACATATGTGTATACATGGCTATATATATATAGATGGATATATAGATAGATATATAGATATATAGATCGATGTATAATATATATATAAATACACACATATAGGTAGGTATATAGGTAGGTAAGTAGATAGACAGGTAAATAAATATATATATATATATATCGATATTTATATATATAAAAATATCTATAGATAGACAGCTCGATCGATGCATATCTCTCTATATACATATATACTCGTATACCGATTGATCGATATGTCTACATATATGTATATATGCATATAAATGTATATATTTATAGTTTTATATATGCATATAAATGTATAGATATATAGTTTTACTCGATCCCTCCATCCATCCATCCATCCATCCATCCACCCTGCGCTACGACTCTCAAAGACGGCCTGGAGGCCTGGACAAGCCTCCGCAAGGACCCCAGGAGCCCCCACAGGGGGTCCCAGGTAATCCTCCTGAGATGCAAAACAACAGATTATATGTGACGTCCGCCTCGTGCGTGGGCTCCCCCCGAGAGGTAAGCTGCGCAAGGCCACCCTCATAATTCCCCGTAAAACACCATGTCTGCCAGCGTGGACTCCTAAGGGTGAGTCATTGCACAGTCGATGCGCAAGCTATGTGGTGCAAGCCATGTGGTGCAAGCTAGGTGGTGCAAGCTATGTGGTGGAAGCTATGTGGTGGAAACTGTGTGGTGCGAGGTATGTGGCGTAAGCAAGACGGCATGTGGTAAAAAAGATGTGTGAGGCAAGGTATGTGGTGCGAGGTACGCGTGGCCATGTTGAGCTAGGAAAAGCGCATGCGGCAATGGGTGATAACGGGCGGCAGCGGGCCACAACGTAGCGAATCCTCGGGCAGCAACGGACCACAACGTGACGAATCGTCGACGTACCCCCCCGAATGCTTCGAAGGCCAAGGAGAACCCAACAGTGTGAGCACTGTTTGGGGAACGAGCGGAGCAAAACGATCAGCAGGGTGACGACGGACCATAACGAACCAGCGGAACCGACGACAACGCAACACATCATCTGGCCCGCCCGAGCCACACGGCCCATGCAGGACTCTGCAGAAAGCGGCTGTGGATGAAGACGACGACGGTGATAACGGAGATGATGGTGACGACGTTGCTTGTGATGCATCGCGACCTATCTTCACCGAATCAGTGCGCCGCGGCGCGCACTGCCTTGTGAAACACGAGGGAGGCAACGATTTACAAGACCCGACAGGATGCGTCCGACGCTGCTGCAGACTCCAGGAGCGCTGCGGGCTCCCATCCCGTGGCCGCCGTTGCACCAGACACGCGCGGTGCGATCAGGCTGGCCGTGCCCACCCGCGCTGTGCGCTGCGCAGTGCGCCGGCGCGGGCGTTCTCCCAGCCGCGATTCCCTGCTGGCCTCGACAGGGAAGACTTCCCCTTGGAGCTGCCCTTGCCGCCCTTGCCCTTGTCCATGCTGCGCGCGCCCTTGCCGCCCTTGCCCTGAGCGCCAGGCGTCATGCCCTGGTCCATGCTGCGGCCGTTCAGCCCGTAGCCACAGTGCGTCTTCTGGTCGACCAACTGCTCGTTGTGCTGCACGCACAGCGCCGCGCGGTCGGCGAGCAGCAGGCTGAGCCGCTGCAGCGGGCTGGGCTCCACGTGCTGGACGAGCACATACCTGGAGGACTCGTCCCAGAAGGCTGTAATCTCTTCCTTAATCCG